AGAGCTAATCAGAAAGAACTCCTAAAAGTCAAAGTTTTGAGCAACAAAATAATAATAATATTGGATTATGACCCATAGAAAGAAAGAAATATCCATGAGTCCATAGTGATATAAATAAATAATAAATTAGCAGGTAAATGGATGAGGCATGACAGTTTCTCCATGTAGTAGAATTACAATTAATAGATGTTTAAAGAAGATAAAAAGGAAACACTACAAGCAAATACCACAGGGTGATTATCGCAAGCATGATCCACAGATGTGGTCTAGATGAATAAAATGTATGAAACAATGGTTCTCAAGACACTGCGCGTTAGATAATGAAAAAGAGTGATCCCTGGGATTTGTGAACCATAAGACGTGAGTCCTATAATTGCCCCTGCTTAATGCCTTGAGAGTTTCTACTCATTAGTGCAAACAGAAAAATTAGTGAACTTGAAGATAAAGCAATAGAAATTGTTTAAACTGAAACACAGAAAAAGAAAGACCAAAAAATAATGACTAAATCTTTCAAGAGCTTTAAGACAGCTTCAAACAACCTAATATACATGCAATCAGATAACCCAAAGCAGAAGGGAGGGGGGGAATAGAAAAAAAATTTGAAGAAATAATGAGTGAAAATTTTCCAGTTATGATGAAAACTATTATTCCACGGGTATAGGAAGCTAAAAGAACACCAAGCACAAGAAATCTGAAGAAAACTACATCATGGCACAATGTCAAAATCAATTGTTTAAAATTACTGATAAAGAGAAAATTTTTTAAGCATTCAAACAAAAATGACTTTACCTACAGAAGAACAAAGATAGGATCACAGCAGATTTCTTGTAGAGAACACTGAAAGCCAGAAGAGAACAGAGCAATATCTCGAAAGTACTGACAGGATAAAAGCAAACAATCAACCTAAAATTCTATACCCAGTGAAAATATCCTTCAAAACAAAGGCAAAATAGGACTTTTATTCAGAAAAAGAACCTGAAAGACTTCATCACCAACAGCTGCATTCTACAAGAAACGATAAAGGAAGTCCTCCAGGCAGCAGGGAATGATGCCAGATGGATTTGTTGATCTACACAAAGAAATGAAGAGCACCAGAAATGATAAACACATGGATAAATAGAATTTTTTTTCTCTTATTATTTAAATGTCCTTAAAATGTAACTGACTCAAATTAAAAATATTAACAATGAGTGGTGGGGTTTATAACGTATGTAAAAGTAAGATATATGACAATAGCCCAAAGGCCAGAAGACGAAGATGAGTGTACACTTGTTTCTTGTGTGTCTGACTGCTGTAAATTCTCATGGGCAGAACCAGCTTTTCTTCTTAGCACCTGCGGCCTCGGTGTCTAAGCAAACCAACAAGTGCCAGGCATTTAAGAAAACACTCATCACTTAGTGTGAACACAGGGTGACTACAGGTGGTGTTGTGATCAACAGACACAAATTATTCTCCTCTGTTCTTTGAACTACAAACTCACATAAGAACCACCTGGGTTCCTGCTTCCAAAGGACACATAAAAATAAAGCGAGCCATAGCCCCTGAAGTTGTTGAGAGACTGCAAACATGGAAATGAACTGAGAATATTTTTTAAAGAAGGAAACATGGCTGACAAGGCAAAGAAGGCCCAGCATGTTCTTAGATGCTAAGAGGTACCTTGTAAGGGCAGTTGCTGAGGTCTTTTCTCCAGAGGAGTTTGAAGCAGGGTTTAAAAAGGGGGAGAGGTCAGCAAGAAGGAAGAGCCTGTGCAAAATACTAAGAAGGATGGTGGGTCAGTGAGAGCGTGGCCAGGCTTGTGCTGAAGATACAGATTAGAGGACAGAAGGACGTGTGTTCACCTTACTTCACTCCATAGTACCTCTCTGCAATGACTTTTGCAATAACCTCTATAATCTCAATAAGCTAAGAACTTTCTTCCTCCTCCTGGTGCAAGGTCAAAATTAAAACTTGTTAATTTCTGCTGCCCACCACCTGATGAACGTACTTGGACATTTGTATAGATGCCATTAAGCATACATACATAATGAGAATTTTCTCTTGGGGCAGATATAAACAAGAGTTAATATATATATATTTTTTTCTTATCAAAGATAGCATGTCTGATGAATCCTTTTCCACCTCTTAGAAGGACTCTGGATTTTTCTGTAAGAATTCTGCCGATATAGATACTTTCTTACAAGGTTATATCCATGGTCCTTCCTCATATATAAGGAGCTCTGGTGGTTCAGTGGTTAAGGCATTTGGCTGCTAACCAAAAAGTTGATGGCTTGAACCTACTAACCACTCTGTGGAAGAAAGATGAGGAAGTCCACTCCTGGAAACATCTACAGCCTTGGAAACCCATGGAGATTGCTAAGAGTTGGAATCTACTCCATGGAAGTGAGTTGTCCCCCTGCCCAACATATTACTTATGGAGAAGGCTTTGGTTTTTGACAACCAAGGAAGCTCATTCATTGATGTACATGTTCAGTGGCCATTCTCAAATAATTCACCCCATTAATACCCTAGTGCAAATATCAGAGTGCTCTCTAAAATCTCTCTAACTTCAGGGTTATATACCCAAAAGCAGTGGCTCTGTACCAAATCATACTTTACTAACCCAATTATTTTTTAGGGGAAAAAAATAGCTTTGGGAGTGTGGTGGATACACTCAGAAGGAATGATTGGCTATCTAAACTTCCTTGACAAAGTGAAAAATTACATGTAAGGAATTGTTTTTATCAGAGAAGTTTAAAGGTGAGGGACGGGACAGGCAAGGGGGGACTGTAGGGAGTTGAAGGCTCTATGTCATGGGGAGGGCAGATGATTCCAATCTGTCTGTTCCACTGGGAGCAGGTGCAATGGTCATAGCAGGAAGCAGTGAAGAATTGGTCAGCAGGTCACGATCCAGAGTTGGTCAAGAGGGCTCACTGGGGGAGACCCAGAAAGAGGGTGTTGTAATATAGGAATTCTGGAACTGGACACACGTGCTAGTACCTGGACAGGGTCAGGTCTCTAAGATCCTGAGTATAGGGGCTGGAGGATGCTGGGCAAATGGAACCCAGAAACGATCCCAAAATGTGGTTGATTCTCACTTTCAACTTCTTTCTTTACACCTGCTTTTATTAATTTGGGCACAGTCTCCTTTTTAATGCATAAGAGACATTTTGGAGCAGTGAGAAGAAAAGTTATTTAAGAGATAAAAGGACTGTCTAAGGTTGAGAAGAGTGGAACAGTGTGTGCTGTAAACAAATTCAGACCAAGGGTACAGTGATGTCACTTACTAGCCATGTGAACTCAGGCAAATTACCAAAATCCATGAGCTTCAGGTTCTTCATCTGTGAAGTTGGTTTGATTATTTCTGTCTTCTAGGACTGTTGGAGTGTGTGCAATATATGTAAAGCACCTGGCACCATATCTGCCATTCGTTTTCTTTAAATGCCATTTAACGAATTGTCATTATTACTATGATTATTTTGACCCCAGATGATACCACCCACTCCTCTGAGATTTTTCCTTTTATAAATCCACATGATGTCAGAGAACATGCAGTGATGTAGCTTATTTTGGAAAACAAACATTAATAAGCTTTGCCCTTGGTGGATATATTATTTAATGTGGCTTCTGGGGAGTCCTCCCTGTCTGGGTACAACTCAAAACTCCTGGAATTTGTATCAATGACCAACTTCCTCCCTCCCTCGTGTAGATGAAAACTACCCCTGTTTTCATTGATTTCATCCTCACCAAATATCCATCTCATGTAGAGGTTGCCTAATAATTCAAGAAAACATAAATTAATAACCTTTTAATGGAATGGGCTCTGGCTTTCCTAGGACGTAAGTGTGCCAGTCCACCAACTTACAGGCATCTTGCTTCAAGGGAATATCACCCTCATTTCTCAGAAATTACTGCTGACTATGTGCATCCAACACCAAGTCAGTGCTTGTGCTCAAGTGCACTGGCATAGGAGCCCCAGACACCTTCCAATCCTGCCTCAGGTGGAGAATTCACCCTAGTTAATTGACTATTCCAAAGTAACTGCTAAAAGCAGTTCTATATCCCAGGTTTAGTTTCTCAATTCTTAGACACTCATCTGAGTGTCTGACCCCTAAGCACGTCAATGAGATCCCACCACCTCATTTGATCCACCACTGAATTTTGTTAATATTAACTCACCCTGAAGGATTTAGGACTTACAGTTTTCCAAAGTTCAAACTGCCTTGCCTCAAGGCATTTACACTTCACTGCTCTCATCCTCCTCCCCTTACTCCTCTAAACTTATCTTTAATGTCTTAGAGAGTATCTCATCATCTTCCTTATATGACGGCTGCTTTTGGTCTCCAAAATTCTGTGCACAGAGGCTGGGTCTTATTTTTTCCTGGTATTTCCAATACTATCATGGAACCTTCCAAAGAGCAGATGCTCAATTAATGTTTAAGGAATGAATGAGCCAATGTATAAAGACCTAATTTATTACAACTTAATTTCCCCAACATTCTTGAACAACCTAAGCAAATATGGCAACATAGCTTTTAATTTTACAGAACAACAGGATAGAACTGAAAACAGAAGCCAAGAATTGAACATTTTTTACTTTTTTTTCTCTATTTCTTGATGGCAACTATTTTATTGCTGATTTCTTTCACTCTTCTAAGAAAACACCTATTCCAATGCCATCTTTTCTAGTTCTAGGTCACTAAATAAGATGAAAGGTTTCCCAATTTGTCTTATAAAATAGCAAAACTATCAAAGCTATTAAAAACCCTTAAATCTCCTAAGCAGCAATAAATATGCAACCAATACATTCATGTACTTAGATTATGAATCTAATGATATCATTTTAAAGAGAAACATTTGAAAGCTTCCAATAACAGCAAAAGAGAAATCTAGAAATTACTCATGAAGAACAGGAAGAGAGATGTGATATGCACTGTCCCCTTTAACCCCACTTCAGCTCCCCCACTACTTAGAAGGTTGACTGCTCTCTTTAAACACAAGTGAAGAAATTGCTTCAGACTTCACTAGAGGTGGAAGTAGCTGTTGGAAATACTGGGACGCACACTGGCTATAGCATTAGTACGAGCCAGAGCTGCAAATCTGGCTCGAGCTCTCTCTTCTTCATCTCTCAAAGCTTCTTCATACCAGGATGGGAAGGCACTGGGCACAGTATCATGGACCTTGGCCAAAAACTCCAGGACTTCCATCTTGCTGGTTTCATTGTAGGCTCTGGGACCCCACAGGAATTCATAGCGTGGAGGATCACTGTTGGGCACCTGCCGGTACTCCAGGTACTTTTCCTGCACCAAATCTTTGGTGATGAGCTTCCTGGGCTCGCCATAGATGAAGTGCTTCTGTCCTGCATATATCCCCATCACATTAAGCACTTCCCAGATATCTTCTTCAGTGGCGCAGTTGCCTTTCATGAATATCACACACAGGACAGTCATCAGAAGGCCGGTCTTGGGCATCATCTCCTCACCATCAGCGGTGCGTTGCAATTTACTGACAAGGGCATAGCAGTGCCTGTCAGTGTCGACTTCCTTCACATCAATACCAAAGGCCAGCGCCATGAGCTCAGATGCTCTCCTGAGGATCTCATTGAAGTAATCCTTGTGCTTTTTGATGACAAACTTCACCATGTCTTCCTTTGTTGTTGTTTCTTTCATGTTATACTTGTGCAGCAAGAACTGAACCAACAAAACTGCCTTCTGGTCGAGAGGCGTCCTGCGTGAACGCTCAGTGGTGGAGGAAGCCTGAGAGGTGCTTGGAATTTCTTCATCTTTCTTGCTGGCACCTTCATCTGATTTTTTGCATGAGACACCTGCAGAAGTTGTGGTGGTGAATAGGGCTTTATGAAGCCCCTGCTGAGTGCTGTGTGACTCAGCAGTAGGTGAGCTCTGAGCAGAAGGGGAGGAAGGAGACCCTTCCCCTTCTGCTGCAGTGGCATGAGCACCCATGAGACCCTGGGTGTCACCTCGGGCCTGGCGGCGTTTCTCATGGGCGCGGAGCTTACTTTTATGACCGCGAGGCATGATGACTCTGGTCAGGCACAGCAGTCAGGAGTGCAGGCAGGAAGGCAGGTGTTGCAGGCCCAAAGGAGGAGGGAGGCTGAGAGGGTGTGGTCGCCTTTAGCAGAAGGTTACTGCCTTGGCTTTAACAAAGGCTACCTCCGCAGTTTTCCTTGAGGGCACTTCTCTAGCAACTGGCAAGGCTCCTTTTCTCCTGATCAGCCTGTTCCTTGAGAACCCTGTGGAGAAAGTTAGAATATGCCTTAGGCTTCAGCGGGCCAGCCCTGCTTTAGAGGCCTCTGGGGCTTAAGAGGACTGAGAGCAGAGACTGGCAGGTCTAGGCTCTGTGAGGACCCCTCTGTTCTGGGATGGGGTAAGAGCCTCAGTTTACATTCAGGATCATCATGCCCTATCCCCTCTGGTGCTCTTAAGCTAACCCCCTTTTATCAAGAACTTTATCTCCCTGAGACTCCCACCCACCTACCCAGCTGAAGAAAGTGGTTCTCCAGCTGGTGGCACCCTTTTCTCCTGGATGATTGGGGTCACTTCCATTAGACCATTGTCTCCACAACACTGAAACTCCTGTGGGGAAAAGAAGGCACCTCTGCTTGACAGCCTTGCCCAGGGCCTCCAATGGTGGTGTGCAGGGTTAGGGCTCTGAGCCTTCCCCGTGTCTCCTTAATCCTAACTCTTGGTCCCTTTTTAGATTTCCTATAGGGTCTGGGGTTTCTCCCTCTGCTGACCTGAAACCGCCAGCTCCCACCAAGACCTTCATTCTCTAAGATCCCAAAAACGGAATTGAGGGGGCATTGAGCCTAACAGTCAGCCTTCAGTCTTCCCAGAAGCAAGGTAGGGGAAGGTGGGGAAAGGCGGGGAGGGCTCTGTGCAGCATCTGGCTTGCAGCAGGGCATGTCCTGCAGTTCTCCTTAAAGATCCTCCCCTTGACTCTCAGCATCACCTCAGCCCTCTCCCCTCTGAAGATCTGAGCCTACATTCCCCAGATCAAGGCTCTCATCTCCCTGAGATCCTTGAGATAAAAGTCAGGGGGCAATTTATGTGCATAGCTCTTCCCTTAGCCTTCCAGGAATGACAGCAGGGACAGGGGTCTGTTCTGGGGGTGGTGGTGGTCATGTCAGTCCTCTGGGGAGGGAGAGGACAAGAACCTCTTCCTCTTCGTGTCTTCATTAAAGGCTTCCTGGGAAATAGCAACTTCCTGAAATCTCTGAGCTATTTACCTACTGAATATTTTGCAAAGATTTAAGAGTCCTACGGAAGGTTGGGCAATCCTACTTCTGTAGTGATACTGCCTCGGAAACCCAAGGAGGGGTCGCTATGAGTCAGGGCCGACTCGATGGCACATAACAACAACAGGCTAGATACCAGATGAGAATGTCACAACACAAGGGAGGGGCCTCAGGACAGGTGGTGGGCTGCAGAGAAAAAAAAACTTACTGACCTATGGGGTGTGTTCACCAGCTAAACTTAGACTTTTGGAAACCTTCTGTTCTAAAATATCTACTTTCTAAGGAGAACAAGCTGTGCCACATAATTTTGTGAGATCCAGATCTTTTGACATTATCTAACACTATCCAGTTTAGTAGAGTGAGTTTTATTTTATTTTTGACCTTCGTTTTTAGTAAGAAATATAGTAACACTCTATCAAGTGTATGTGCATGTATTATATGTATGTATATACATATATATGTGTATATATTCATGAAAGAGTATCTACCCTTGCTATGTGTGATTCACTCTTTTCATTCTGTATATTCAATTATAATATTATTTTTTTTAAATAATAAAAAAGCCCTCAAAAGAGCTTTCAGGTAGTTATTAGCACATTCTCTGGAATCATTTTGCCTCAACCCACTCATTTTTTTTTTTTTTTTAAATTGTGATTTGGGTGAAAGTTTACAAAGCAAATTCATTTTTCATACAGCAGTTCACACATTTTGTCTCATGATTCCAAACCAAACCAAACCAAATTCACTGCTGTGGGGTCGGACCCTACTCGTAGTGACCCCTCCTTGGATTTCTGAGGCAGTATCACTACGTGAGTAGATTGTCCAACCTTCCTTCTGAGCAGTGGCTGGTGGATTTGAACTGCCAGCCTTCTGGTTAGCAGTCAAATGCCTTAGGCACCACCAGATTTCCCACAATGCAATAACTCTCTTCCCACTTCCTCCCCATAGTTACCTCTTCCCTATGTCCTTCCCCCCACACACTATGATGCCATGAGTTGTCTCCCTGTGCATACACAGCCCTTCTATTCCATCTCAAATTTTTGTGCTGTCCTGATATCACCCATGGTACTGGCACCCATGGTCTGAGGTGCTGCCTCAAATTGTCCCATGGCACACAGGGAAGAAGCAAGGCAGAACTATAATTATGTCTTTCAAAGATCCTGTCATCTGCCTTACACTGCAGACTATAGACCTGTCTCAACTTCAGGACATGCCCCCATCTGCCCACACACAAGTACTAGTTCAGTACAGATTTAGTCTCTCCCAGAGGTTTCTGATTTTTGTTGTTTTGCTATTGTTAAAATTGTTCTTTCATTCTCCTTCCAACAGCTTCTTCAGGGTTGATTTTAGGAAGCAGTAGCCCTTGTCTGGTTGCCATCTTGGAAGCTACAGATAAGACACTAAATCTGGTAAATGATTTAAAGAGAATTAACATGTTTACAATATTCTTTTCCACATGAATAAACATACTGTACTGCTTTATTTATTTGGGACTTCTTTTACCTCAGTCTATCAGTAATTTTTATAGTTACCTCCAAAATGATTATGTATATTTTTGTTAAGTGTCTTTTTAGGTAAATTTTTTGATATTGTTGGTGTTGTAATTGGGATATTTTCTATCACTTGTCCTAATTGTGAGCTCCGGTGGTGTAGTGCCTCGGGCATTTGACTGTCAACCAGAAGGGTGGCAGTTCAAACCCACCAGCCACTCCTTGGAAGAAAGGTTGGGCATCTATTTTCTTAGCAATATCCCCTTGGAAACCCAAGGAGGGGTCCTTATGAGTCGGATCCGACTTGACGGCAGTGAGTTTAGTTTGGTTTGGGTTTTTGTCCTAATTGCTTATTGATTTTGGTTAAGTACCTGATTTTGCTATAGTAATCTTCTATAGAACAGTTTTATAATGTCTCATGCATTTGAATATTCTGTGCACTGGTCCTTTTGGAATTTCTAATTAGAGGAAAATACTGTCATCATTTAATTTCTTTCTTTTCAATTCCTACCTCTTATTTATTTTTATATTCTTATGGCTCTGGTTATGCATTCCAGTACAGTTCAACAGTAGAGGTAGTACCATCTATCTGTGTCTTGGTCGTGACTTAATGGGAATGTTCCTAACATTTCATGTTTATGTAAGCTTGCTGTAGGTTTTAGGCAATGGAAAGTCCATTCTAATGTTATTTTGCTAAGTTTTTACCATGAATTGTGTTGATTATTTTTCCCCAAGGGCTTTTTCTGCACCCCAGGACATGATCAATTATGCCTTTGCTCCTCTAATTCACAGATGTAGAGAAATTCCAACTGACAATTTCTTCTAATGGTATATCATCGTTGCATTTCTTTGGCATGGCTTATTTCTATATTAAGTTAAATCTTGATGGATATGATATGAATTTATTTAGGATAGGTGCCTTTATGTGACTGAGCTTGGCTCAAATGTTCTTTTCTTGAGGTATCTTTATATTGTTCTTTGTATCAAGGGCAGCATGCCTGTTCAATTGAGTTTAGTGATATTCCATATTTTGGTATGGTTTGGAAGAGTTTACATAAGATTCATTTTTCCCTGACCATTTGGTGTAACGGCTACAAAGCTGATTCGATCTGGAATAATTTGAGGAAGGATGGAGCTCAAACTAGAGTATCAGTTTGTATTGTTTGAATAAAGTTTTCTATTTCTGTTGGCAGCAATTTGATCAATTACATTTCTTCAAAATGTTATTTCATTTGGATTTAAAATTCCAATACATTATATATGTAAATCAAAATTATTTACTAGAGAGGTTCTCAAGCATATACAACAGTACAGAGAATAATATAATGAACCCAGTATGCCAGACACACAGCACCACAATTAATAGTTAGAGGTAGAAGCTTGATGAGATTGAGATATTTTTTCCCTTTATTTTTGTGTATTGGCAGGACCACTCCATAGGTAATGCTGTATACTTCCATTAGGAGGTCTCCGTGTCTACCTTTGTGGTAATTCTGGCTGTTATTGATGATCATCACTTTTATTCATTAATCCATTAGTGGCTGCAGGACAGCAATTTTCTAATTTATCTTATTCCTTCTGTGATTATTAGCTGAAATATTTCTATAGGTAAAACCTTATGAGTCAGGTCCGACTCGACGGCATATAACAACGACAACAATAAGAAAATGCAAATCAAAACTACAGTGAGATACCACTTACCACTTCATAATCACTGTTGTTGTTGTTGTTATGTGCCGTCAAGTTGGACCCGACTCATAGCGACCCCTCCGTGGGTTTCCAAGGCAGTATCACTACAGAAGTAGATTGCCCAACCTTCCTTCTGAGAAGTGGCTGGTGGGTTTGAACTGCCAGCCTTCTGGTTAGCAGTCAAGTGCCTTAGGCACTATGCTACCAGAGCTCCCTTCACTAGGACACATTTAATAATAAATAAATAAATAAACATAGAAAATAACAACTATTGATGAAGATGAGGAGAAATGGGGACTCATATATTGCTTAGGAGCTCTGGTGACATAGTGTCTAAGGCATTTGACTGCAGTGGGTTTTGAGTAAAAATTGCTTGGTGGGATTGTAAAATGGTGCAGCCGCTAAGGAAAATACCCTCTCTGGTGGCTTCTTCAAAAGTTAAACACAGAATTCCCATATAACTCAGAAATTCCACACCTAGGTATAAAACCCAAGAGGAATGAAGGCATATGTCCATGGAGAAACTTGTAAACAAATGTTCATAACCACATAATAGCCAGAAAGTGGAAACAACTCAAAAAATGAATCGACAAATAAATGG